GGCTTTTTAGATATATAACCCATAGAGAGATAAAGCAGTGTTTATGCATCCCTGAACCAGACATCTGAATGCAAATTCAAAAATACCTGAATAAATTTGTAATAGTCTGGGGTACTGTGCATGCAGAAGACCAAAGGGTCTATCATATTCATCCAAGAATACAGCTGTCTTTATTAATGAAAAGTTTCAACACTGAGAACTAATTTAGTGAACTGTTCATAACCCATGCATAAGACAGAAAGCAGAGGTGGTCCCCACATAAAAGCTGAAGCTGGTGCAGTTTTGGCATGTCCTACGCCCAATTCTCAGCTGTTGGATGCCACTTCATTTCAGTTTTCCTTCGCCCTGGGTGCTGTTACAGTGGTAATCAAGGAGAGAGTGCCAGCTGGACTCTATATCTCAGGGAACAGGATTGAATTTCAAACTGAGGGGAGTGGGTATTGCTGTTTATTTTTCTACTATGTTAAATTATTTGCCTTGCTGGTTATAAATATTACACTTGAAGAGACCTTGCTGACTGTGAATGTTTTCATTCTGCTGAGACATTCCTTTAGAGTACAGCAACCTAAACCGTGAAATACCACAATCCCCACAACAGAAGATTGCAACTGCAATGTACAAATGTGTAAAGCACACACCCAAACATTCAGACCCAAGTTTTCCCAAAGCCTTATTTGGAAAGGGGCAGAATAGCTATTCTCATAATCTCCCTATTGATCTTCTGCTTCTCCATCTGACAGTGCTCAGAGCACACATACATTCAGCAAGTCCTAATAATATATGTATTTTTAAGGTCTTGTTCTACCAAGGTCCCAGAGCTACCGTTGCCCTTGCTCACTGCTTTCTAACCTCTGTTGAAAGTTATTTGGTCCACAATGAGAGAGAACACTCTGACCTACCTCACTCTAGACAGCAGCAACTCCCCTTCCCCCTCCCAGTTCCTATCAAGCCTGAGTTGATCCAAGTAAGGAGGAGTGAACTGTGTCATTCTGAATTTATATTACATAAATATGGATATGGATATAAATTATATACATCGTGTTTTCTGGGCCACAATTTTAATATAAATATAAAATAATAGAAAATAGGAATAACAACTAAACTATTCCAGGATTTAAAACAGTGGAAATACCAATACTGTGAACAAGTAATCTGATGGATATGTAGCATTCCCAACAGGGAGTCCTTAATAATAATACTAGGCCATAAATAATATTCTAGAAATCCAGCTAAGTGATAAGAAATGAAGAAGGCAAGGGGAATACAAACCCATAGATTTAGGCAACTCAAGTAGATTTTTACCTTCTATGCAGACTGTTCTGCAGTGAAATACATCTCTAAATGAAGACACTAAAAATAATTGTGCTTTGATGGCTTTTAGATCTCACAAATTAAATCAATTTAGAATGTCTGAGCTTTTCCCTGTACAAAATTACATAGCAGAAAACTGTCTTATTGCATGTTCCAAGATGCAGAGAGAAACATATACTTTATGTGCCTAAAAATGTTATGGAAATGCATATTGCTAGAATGGAAGTACATAAGAAAATGGATGGCTATTATCCAGCTGTAACTTCCACTATTTAAATGCAAACAAAACAGGAAAATGAAATGCAATTTTTAGTTTAATCTACTTTCATGAGTCTTCTGGGAAGCCCAGAAGTATCTGAAAAGAGCCTCTGGGACCTGCTGGGTTTAAATATGGATTTTGAAGTCTGTTCAGTAATAAGTGGTATGCTACATTTGGTCTAAAAATGAAGCTTAGCAAGTGACATCTGTGTTTAAATGAATGTACAGGAAGCACATTGGGAGCAGGGGGAGGAAAAGGGGAACGTGCCAAATTAACTGTTCACTTCAGTGATGTATTACCCTTTCTGTTGTCCAGAGTTCAGACTAAATTTATCCTTGGCCCAATCCATTCTAAAACCAACACGTTAAATATAAGTACTTCACTGTACACCCTCTGTAGATTGCTAAAGAAAAGCTATTGTGGTTGAAACAGTTAAAACACACAACAAAATGCCTTGGACATTGACCAAATGATCAGAGAGCATCCGGGGGTGGAGTGGAGGTGGAGAGAAAGGCACAGTGAAATGTGATTGAGATAAACTGTAATGAAAATGGTGTATATATTTTTTCCTGCCAATGAACTAACTTCTAAAGAAAGAGTTGTAATTACATGACATGCAAAATTATGTATCTAAATATCGAGTATGGTATAGAAACTGTGTTATAACTGTTGCAGCACAGAGCCTTTGATAGAAGACTCAGTGCTTTTCTAATCACAAATAACTTACATTCGGAGAATGGAAGAGTATGAAATAGATTTTGAAGTTAATTTTTTTTCTGTAATTTTAAGCCCTAGATTGGCCTGGGACATCTCTGCATTGATGTCCTTAGAGTTACATTTCCCTTCAGACCAATTACAAAGGTTCACAAGGTTGTTTTTATTTTCCTTGATGCTTTTTTAATGAGGCCTCCTAGTAAACAGCACACATTATGCTTTCCTGTTGTATTCCTGTCTGCCGCCTTCAAACATTTATTACTAATACTTCTGGGAAATGATTTATAAATTAAATATTAGGAAAATGTATTTTAAAAGATAGTGATAGTAGTAGTAGTACTAGAGGAATTACTTATTCTTATATTGGGGGAATCTTGCCAGCAGTTTGCTAATGGATGTGTAGAGAAAGTCACGGTTAAAGGACTATCGTGGTTTTTATGTAATAAATAGAGATAATAGACAGAGAGGATTTTTAGTGCATATATTTGGACCTGTGGTTCATTTTAATAAAATGTGTCTAAGAGAGCCAATATTTGTTTATAGCAGCTCATAGATAATTAGCAATGAAGCTAGCATAAAGGACTAAAATGTTAATGTTACAACAGCTTAGCTTTTAAGCGATATTTGGTGTCATCCATGCAAAGATACAGATCTAGTAAAATACACTCCTTGCATGCCTGAAGCATTCTGTAGTCAGGGGAGAAAAATGTGGGCATACTTACACATGCATGTGCACACACTTATACACACACCTGTGGGAGATATTTTCACATAAGACTGTATTGTCTTCTGTTTGAATTTAGAGTAACAAAGTAATATTTTTGCAAGGATCCATACCTATTTTCTGATAAAACTTAAGTTAATCTTTCACTCAAGAGTCCTAAAAGTAAGTCACCTACTCAAGTAGAACTCCTTGTCAGAGGATGTTGTGAAGACCAGGACTTTAACAGGGTTCAAAAAAGAGCTAAATACATTCATGGAGGATAGATCCATTAATGGCTATTAGCTAGGATGAGCAGGAATAGTGTCCTAATCTCTGTTTGTCAGGAGTTGGGAATGGGTAACAGGGGTGGGATTACTTGATGATTACCTGTTCTAGTCAGTTCCTCTGAGGGCACTTAGCATTGGCCACTGTTGACAGACAGGATACTGCGCTAAATGGACCTTTGGTCTGACCCAGTTTGGCCATTCTTATGTGCAAGTGCCCTGATATTTATTATGGTGGGGCTCCTCAGCTCCAGCCATTCCCATTAATGGGAGTTGTGAGTCTTCATTATCTCTGAACAGCAAACTACAAACTTACTTAGGTGCCTAAATTTGATGTAGGTGGCACTTAAGTTTGAAAATTTGTCTTTAATTAAACTTGCTAACCGCTGCTGTATGGTAGTGGTGTTCTCCAAAGATTCCACATGTATATTATTCTCACTGCTGGCTCTTAGTGATTCAGCATGTGACTGATAGAATTCACTAGAGGGCAGCAAGATAATGAATATTCTCTAGGCTGCCTAATACCCACTACTCAGCACAATATAAATCTTAGCCCTGGAATGGGCCAACGAGGTGCTGCTTGATTGTGCTGCCTCTTTAGTCGCCAGCTCTTCTAGATTGCAGAGACTACTTGTCATACATTCTTTGCCCCCCATTCCCTGCCAGTTGGGTTTAATATGCTTGTATGCTAGAGTATGATGGAGAGAGCCAAGACAGTGCAATAGTCAGGCTTTTATTTCTTTCTCCACAGGCACAGACCTTTCCATGAAGCACTTCCTGAAAGTAGAGTTCCCCATGTTCGTAGATATCACATTATGCATAAATGCACTATATTGCCCCCTGTAGGAAACTATCATAACACTCAGCATGCTGGTTTGATCATTCCTGGTTCACTCATTTTCTTGCCCCTTACTATTAAAGAATGCTTCCCTGTGCCAGGTCTCACATGTGTGTATGTAGCCACAAAACATGAGACCTTGAATAGTCAAGCATTCCTTAATAGCAAGGGGCAGCCACTAAAGGTACCCCTTTTTCTTTTATTCCCTACTCTTCCTTCTTGGGTTCCCCTCTTTCTGTGCCCTAGGACTAGGAATTTAGCAGTTATTTTCCATTTTCTATAAAGTATATCTCCTCCCTGACTCTCAGCTACTTTCAATAATTCAGGGTGTGATGTCACCAATTGAAGTGGTTCTCTGAGCAGGTACTGTTCTCCTAACTCATCTCAAAGCATCCTAGGATGCAACATGTCACCTCAAAATGGCCTGATCCAATACCCAATAAAATAATTCTATTTATTTGAGTGACAGTTGGGTCAGGTTTACGATCGACTTGTGGAATTACTTGCCAGAAGATGTTGTAAAGACCAGGACTTTAAAAGGATTCAAAAAGGAGCTAGATTAAATTATTTAAAAGGGTTCAAAAAGGAGCTAGATTAAATTCATGAAGGATAGGTCCATCAAAGCTTATTAGCCACGATGGGTAGAAATGGTGTCCCTAGTCTGTTTGTCAAAGGCTGGGAATGGGTGACAAAGGAGTGATCACTTGATGATTGCCTGTTCTGTTCACTCCCTCTGTGGCACCTGTCACTGGCCACTTTTGGAAGACAGGTTATTGAGCTAGGGATACATTGGGTGTGACCCACTATGGCCATTCCTGTGTTCCAGTATATATGCATGTGCGTGTGAGACAAAAAATCTGGAACCTCTGCTTTAACTCGGGGCTCACTCACCTCTCTCTTCTTCTCAGTTTTCCGTGCTCCTAGTCATGCATCAGTGGATATGTTGGGTTCTTTACTACATACTGTTCTTAAGGAAGTTCACTGTTGTACAGGAGGTTTTCTTTGCATTTTTTCATAGAGTTTTTCTTACGTTGCTTGCAGTTTCATTCTCTAAACTCACTCTGATTCCTTCTATTTCTTCCTTTAGTTTTTACTGTAGCAAGGGGGTAAAATCAGTTTAATCAACTCTGTGACCTTAGCAGCAATATATTAAAGACTCTGAGAATCTGTTAGTAGAACATTTAAAGACATACCATTCATTTACTATTTCATTAAAGGAAATTCCAGAGGGCTTTATATTGGTCTGTTCTTTCCTGTTAATTGCATTTTTTGGTTATGCATCAGAACACCTTTACCCTTGGATACAATATGCTTCTCACTGAAATAAGGTATTATACTAAAATGTAGGCACTCCAATAATGTGATATATGACTTTGACCATTTTCATCATTTATATCTTAACCAGTTCATCACATTAATTTGGCATATATACAGCTTCACTGCCCTGTGATGAAAACAGTAGCTTGGCTAGGTAATCAAGATGCAAAATGTTTAAAAGATCAAAGGGAAATATAGAATATATTAGGTACTATATTCTTATAAGTGCAGAACATTATCATAACATTAATCCATTCTAAGCAAAAGGAATCACATTAAGGAGTATTAACAATGTAGATTTAACCAAATCAAGTTGCGTCCCTCAGATGTCCAAGAAAGAATAAGTAGATTGCAAGGCTGGCTCGAGCCATTTCTAGCGCCCCTGGGCAGCGGGCGTGCGACGCATGCGTGGCTCTGCCCCTGGGAGCACGGTGCATGCATGGCCCCACCCCCCGGCGCACTGCACACCTTACAGCTGCCATCAGGCACCCCCATAGCTGATGTCACCCCGGGCAGCTTCCCAGCTAGCCCCCCCTCCTCTTATCCGGCCCTAGTAGATTGGATAGTTCAGATAAATGTGTCCTTTTTTTTAACTACAGCTATATTGAAAATGTAAAGAGGTCTATATTTAAACCAGTCTAAGAGCAGTCCTTACATTATGAAATAGAGTACAGAATGTTAAACATTTAAAGATAAAAACTGGAACAATTGTGTTACAATGCAAAACTATTTTCTTATAAAAAAATCTTTAAATTACACCATATGAGTAAAGACAATGGTATGAAATTCATATTAGTCTGCCACATCAGGGAATGAAACTAGAAAATTATATAAAATTAATCCTTTCCCCTTGGCAGTTTTAATATTGTAATCCTCTATAGTCATCCTCTCTAACCAAGTTTGAAGGGTCTATAATTCTGCTGTTTTTCATATCCTGTCTCTTATCTCATTGTATAGCTGATTTCAAAGCTGATGTTCTGTGGAGGTTAAAACAAGCATGATTCATCCCATCTATTCTCAGATGAAGATGCTATTATTAGGGGAGTAAGTGGACTAGTTTTTTTGAGATTAGCATTTCTTCTTAATTTTTTGAGTGAAAAGCAATTCATATGAAATTACCAAATGACAAATATTTTCCTTTCTCAGTAGCTGTTGAACCATGTGTATGTAAATGTGGATGTGCATGAGAGGGTTATTATATTGAAGGGGTATTTCCATTAAAAGGCCAATAGTTTATTTTTAATATGATCTGTTTAATTGAGTGGCAGGTTCTGTCAGTGTAACTCCATTGAGCTGGATGGAATTATGCCAGTGTAAAATTAGAGTAACACAGAAGTGAATTAACGGAGTTTTGACTGATTTACACTTTCAGAGGTGGGATCATAATCAGTCACCAAGACTTTATAGTCATCTAAATGTGCAGTTATCACTTTAAAATGTTCACTTGACTTTAATCTATCTTTGTTTAATTTGCTTGCTACTTATGTCCCAAAGACTTCAGAATGGTGTAGTTATTCTATTCCATTTGTTCTCACTGTGTGCTGTGTTTCTTGACACACATTCTATTGGACATCAGGATTTTCAGACTTTTCCTTATTCAGTATTATTTGGTATTTATTGCTGCATGAACACTAATTTTAATTTTACCAAAATAAGGACAGTGAAGTTTTTGTTTGCATATTATTAGTTATTATCAACTCTCACATTAACAGTGGGAATTGCAGTTTCCTTTATTTCCTGTGCATGGCATAAATAATGTTGTATGTTTATTTGGAGAAACCCATTGTTAGTTATTCATAGTTCATTGGTGATGCGAAACATTTCAGTATGTGCTTGCATTATGATTTAGAATGAATAAACTGTCTCTTAATATTTATTACAATCCATTCAAGTGCAATGAAGGGCTTCTTTTACTCTGGACAACATCAGTGGCATAATCAGGATGAGTTTCACCACACAGTTTGGCAGATCTCTATGGCTGTGTGAGAACCCAAGTCATTCAAAAGGCAGACAACATTGTGATCTCTGATTTTCATGAATTTGACCATCGATCTACTCTCATTCTGCACTTTTGGAAAATGAGAATAATGTTTAACTGAAGAGCATAAGGGCAGATTTTTCTTCTCGGGCGGGGGAACTGTTAAGGAAAAATAAATCCTATGAACTCCTTCTCGGGGAGTTTCTACCAGAGCATACAATTGTCCATGCATTTGTACCTCCCTGTCTGCTCTCCATGGAGTGGGCAGAATTTGAACTCAAAGAACCCAAAGAGGCCAGTATTGTCTGTGTACAGATGTCATGGAAACCTGCAACTCTTTTACTTCCCTGATAAAGTGAATTCTCCTAAAAGCTGCCTCAATTTCTTCTGCCATCATCCTGGCTTCCTGCCAACACACAGAGGGATGAATTAGTTTATAGACTGAGGTTGTATTAATGCTTCTGTGAACTCATTGCTGGTTTCTGGGGTGACGGATGACATGCATTGCATTCTTATTGCCATAGCCCCAAGGCATGCTCCCTCTCCACATAGATCCTTATGGAGGCCTCATTGTGGGGTGCAGTGTGAAGAGGATGATTGTGTAGAGGCAGCTGATTGCCCCTTTCCCCAATACACACCTTTTGCTTCCTAGCCAGGAATCTACTGAATTTTCATCCTCTTTGTCTAAAGGTAGATTGGACAAATCCAGGCCAGAAAACATTTCTTAGTTATCTCTTCAGCCACATTTTCTCTGTCCCAGAGGGAAAAGTGGTCTCTTTTGGTACATGAAATTCACTTTATTACTCTGTGTCTCAAATTCTCTGGAGAGTGTTTCAAATCTACACAACAGCTGTCCTGAGCAGAACTGGCCAGCACTTGCAAAGTGTCTCCGATTCTTCATTTGAATTCTTAACTACATTAATTTCAGTTGCATTTGGGTCCATTTTATATTTGCTTCTTAAAAATATTCTTATGAAGGAGGTTAATGGCAAGAATGTTCTGTGAATATTCGGTGAATATGAAACAAACATTGAATAATTCAGGAAAGCAACACTAAAATTAAGGACCATGAGTATTCATCCAGCTAATCTAATACTGAGAATTTTACACATCCAAGCAGGGAACAGAAAAATTGCACCTTACCTACAGGTGTTATCAAACTAACCAGTTCATTGTGATTAAATAATGAATACTCATAATAATTCATATTGCTTCTGAATAAACTTTGGACCACAGAGAATATTTGCTAAATGATTCCGATAGTAAATAAATATGAGAAAATTGTAAGATGACAGTTTGCAAACAAACAAATTCAGCTAATAAATTATCCGCTCTGAATAATTTTCACAGTGTGTGAAGGTTAGGCTATATCTGGCCAAAAACTAGATGGTTCTGACAGACGGCTATAAAAGCATTCTGTTGCTCCAACAACAATCAGGAATAAATCAGACTCAATACATTGGTTCCTTAATTCTAAAATAAGGAGCCATAGATGGTGTAAATTTGCAGAGTTCTACTGACTGTTAGACACTCTGATTTAACTAGCTGGGGATCTTGTCCAAAAGTTTTAGAGGGTAGCACAGGAGGGACTTTAAGCCAGCCTGCATACCTTTTCTGAGATCTGCTGTTGTAGACCTGTATGAGATGTGGAGCTATAGTTCCCTCTGCTTTTGTGAGTGTGGCAGAATACTTGAGGGTCCAGCGGGCTAATATAGTTTTGCATGCCCCTCCAAAGCAAAAGGCCATTTCACACTCTGGAGAGCAATAGAGTGGAACAGTAGGCAGCACAGAGGGTATTACCCTCTTTCAAGAGAAGGATGCAAATGAAGACATTCAAAGTTGCAAATGAAGCCGGGACTTAAATATCCCGTGCTTCATTTGCATATTGCGTTATGGTGCTATTTCGAAATAACAGATGCTGTTAAGATGCGGTTATTTTGACAGAAAACCCTTCTCTCGAAATAACCCTTATTCCTCATACAATGAGGTTTACCAGTTATTTTGAGAGAAGGGTTTTCTCTTGAAATAACCACGTCTTAACAGCATCTGTTCTTTCAAAATAATGCTATTTCGAAATAGTACCATAATGTGAATATTTAAATCCCGGCTTCATTTGCAGTTTCAAATGTCTTCATTTGCATCCGTCTCTCGAAAGAGGGTGCAAGTGTAGACATACCCTAACTCTGGTGTTACTTCTGTTATTGAAAACCAAGTTCCTTGCCTTGCAAGCCCTGAGAGCCATGAACTCCATTTGATTTCATTGTGTATTGGAGGATGTGCAATACCTTGTAGGATCAGTTACTAAGGAGAATTTCTGAAGGGTGAATGGAGACAATGATCAGCTATTTGGAGGAGAGGGGAATCAGTGGATAGTGCCATGGAACATTTGTTTTAGTTTGTTTGCTTTTTACCTTTCAGTAGTCCGTTACGGCTTCTCACTACACATAACAGAATGGCCACTTAATCATACATCATGTTGTCAAATGTACTTTACCTTATCACATTTCACTCGACAGTGTTGACTTTCTTTTGGTTTCCAAATCCTTAACCCTCTCAGCGTGAAGGACCATGCCAGGAGCAAGCCTATATGTACTGGTATTGATTGTGTTGGTTTGTAAAGGCTCCTTAATGTTCCACTCAAAGCAAAGTAGAATTCTTTGAATGAAGGTAATAGCATGGATTGTGCCTCCATTATATATTACTGAAATTCATGGTTCAGATTTGTAGTAGCATGAAGTATTATGCAATTTAATTAACTTATGCTTGGACATTCTAGGCACTTAGACTATTTCTGCATTTGTCAAGATCATTAGATGTGGCATCAAAGTTTTTCAAAAGAGCAAGAATATAATCAATTTTGCAGAGAATTCAGGGGAGGTTGTAGAATTTCCATCTCTGGAGATATTTAAGAGCTGGTTAGACAGACATCTATCAGGGATGGCAGATGGTGCTGGGTCTTGTAATGAGGGCAGGGGACTAGACTCGATGACCTCTCGAGGTCCCTTCCATTTCTAGTGTTCTATGATTTTATCATTTCTTTCTGTGTTTAACAGTATTCTTAATCCAATACTGACTGAAGAGAAAAAGAAAGCCTTAAATTACCTTTGCTGGACTTACGTTAAAGCCCAAGATAGGACATAAGGATATCTGACGTCCTGTTCCCTCCTGTACCATAGAGTTTCTGTGGATGGCAAATCACTTAATCTCAGTTTTCCCATCTGTAAAACCAGAATAACGATATGTATCTCACTGGGGCAGAGGTTTCAGGTGTGAAGTACAAGGATAAGAAGAGTAGTGTTCTTGCTACATTTCCTAGGCGGACAATTGGGGAAGTGGTGACATCTCTCAGGACTCAAGTTCATAAGATGTGCAGCCCTCTCTGCACACCAGAGAGTTTTGGCTAAAATCAGATAAATGCTAACCAAGCTTTTAGAGTTAGTCCATCACAAATAATTATCATCTTAAACTTACTGGTCACCTGAATGAGATTAGACATTGAGATAATGTTTACACTTGTGAGGTGGAGCTCGGAGATAGAACAGGAATGACAGTTAACCATACACAGATGTCTCAGGACAACTTCTATGAATAAAACAGGCTGGCAATAAAATCTTGTGGCAGGAGTGAAACTGACAAGTAAAAGATCCTACAGTTTGCATACAAGGCCAGATTGCAATCAGGTATGTGGGACGAGAGTGGGAGTAAGAAGCCTCCTCACCCCCTTACATGGTTAGCAGGGGGTGAATCTACACTGCAGGGCTTAACTCAAATTGTGTAGCTTATTTTGAAATTGAAACTGGGAAGATCTACACAAATTTTGAAGTAACCAAATTTTGAAGTAACGTGCTATTTTAAGCCATCCCTTGACCCTTATGCAACAAGGTTTACCGGGATGGTGAAATAGCCTGCCTGTTATTTTGAAAAATATTTCGAAATAACAGGCGGCTTGTGTAGACACAGGACACTTGTTGGCTTGGATGTGTGTCAATAATGCAATAACTTTTCAATGCTGCATCTCATCATTTTCAAAATTTCCGGGAATGTCTTAGGCATCTGTGGGGAGAACCATGTTGATTTTGGTGAAAATCAGAAAAACAAAAGAAGTGTGGGGGCATAACTTCTGATTGGCAGAGCCACCAGCTTCAACCAGTGCCGTAACTTGAACAGCCATTAAAACATCCCAGCAAAACAATCCTTGTAGCTTCACCCTCCCTACCAACACAATGTAAAAATGCTGCCATCATGAAAGAGAGAGATGAAAAACACTTGGGGAAATAGGCATGGGATAAGAAAGTAGAGAAACAGGGGGTGCACTTGTAACCACAACAGGGTGGATTCAAACTTGGGACCTCTGGAGCTTAATATAGGAGCCTCTATAGCTTGAGCCCACCTTAGGCTGTAGAGCTCCCTTGTTCTTATCTTTTGACGTTCACTGTTCCACCCATGCCAGAGTCCCCCCTTTCCTTCTATGCCAAGGATTCTGAATGTGTAACCCACACACCTAGGCTACATCTAGACTGGCCCCTAATTCCGGAAAAGTCATGCAAAGCAGGTAAGTCAGAATAGGGAAATCTGTGGGGGATTTAAATATCCCCCGCGGATTTAAATTAACATGTCCGCCGCTTTTTTTCCGGCTTGGGGAAAAGCCAGAAAAAAGTGTCTAGACTGGCGCGATCCTCTGGAATAAAGCCCTTTTCCTACTTTCAAGTAGGAATAAGAGATCCTCCGGAAAAGGGCTTTATTCCGGAGGATCGCGCCAGTCTAGACGCTTTTTTCCGGCTTTTCCCAAAGCTGGAAAAAAAGCAGCAGACATGTTTATTTAAATCCCGCGGGGGATATTTAAATCCCCCGCGGATTTCCCTATTCTGACTTACCTGCTTTGCATGACTTTTCCGGAATTAGGGGCCAGTCTAGATGTAGCCTAGGTGTGTGGGTTACACATTCAGAATCCTTGGCATAGAAGGAAAGGGGGGACTCTGGCATGGGTGGAACAGTGAATATACAGAACCTTTAGGGTATGTCTAGACTGCATCCCTCTGTTGGCAGAGGGATGCAGATTAGGCAGGTCGACATTGCAAATGAGGCAGGGACTTATATATCCCATGTCTAATTTGCATAAAAATGGCGGTCACATTTTGCCAACTCAGCACTTTGTCGGCTAAAAGCAATGCAGTCTGGATATGCCCTTAGTGTTGAGGGGCACACAGAATCCCCAGCAAAAGACGAACAGGGAACATGAGGAACGGGAGGCCAGGAGGAGACATGGGAGCACACACATCCCTTGGCATTAAGGGAGAATGGGGGACACACAGAAACACCTGATGGGGAAATGAGGAGCAGAATGGAGAGGGAGAAATGTGGCCCACAAAAAACCCTACGGGGAAGAGGGCAGAGTGAGGCACATTGCATGGAGCAGGAGGGGGGACTCCTGTGTGATAAGGAAGAGGAGCGGGTATTGCTGTGAACTATCGTGAGGGACAGAATTCTGGCACACAGGGATGTTGTTGGGCAGAACAGAAAGATGAGAGGCACCTTTGGGGTCTGTAATCTGCTTGGCCTACAGCAGCTGGGAAGCGGGTGGAATCCTTGGTGTTATTGTGAATTCAGATACTACTCGGCATGAGTAAAGGAAGCAGAATCTAGCCCCCAAAAGTGAACAAGACATTTGTGAGCCTTATAAGCTTGATGTAATTCAGTTCTAGCTGTGAGGACAGTCCCTTTACTATCCAAACAGGCACCCATGTACATCTCTAATAATTAGTGTTGACATGGGGAAGGGAAGGAAACAACAGCTTGGAAGCAAGCCCTCAAACCATTCATTTCCTCATATTCCTCTAACCAAAAAGCTACAAGAGGCTTCTTAAACAGCAGGCGCTCAGCCTAAAGGCATTGAGTCTGACAGGGCTACTGACACAGAGAGGGAAAAAAATGAGAGGAACAGACACAGCTGTAGCAATTGCCTTAGGTTATCTATGCCTATCACTTCACAAGAGTATTTGTAGCCACAGCACCCAGTGCGAACATGCATTTCCTCCTGGGAGATATCTATTCCTATGTGCTACCTTGTAGTCCCAAAGAAATGTGATGCCTAAATAAATAAGGAATATGCAGCTAGGACTTATTCATCTTCTAATTGTGTACCAGTTCCATTAGATCTCTCTAGCTAAGCACCATATAAACTTCAAATGAACTCCCTGAAATAATAGGGCTTCGCTGGAGGATAAGCAGAGGTAGGAGCTGGCTCTAACACCATAGTGCAGCAGAAGACAACATCAGTATAATGTGACTGTTAGCCATTGGTTGAGTGCTGTGCTCAGACTCCAGCACCCAGAATGGTGGCTTTAGTATAATGGTGAAAGGTCAAAACACCTGATGTGCCCATGTGACTGCTCAGGAATGTGAATGATTTGGATAGCCTAGCGAAAATTATCTGTGGAAATATACTCCACCTATAACTTACTTGAGGAAATGTGTAAGTATATGCTCATACTCTAAAATGAACTTTAAATTAATTATTTTGGTAATAAACTGGACCATGTGCAATACATAGTTGACTCAGCCAAAATAAGTATTCCTACTGGCCAGGGGGGTTTCTTCCTGACATCTCATTTGAAACTGAATTTTGAAGCCTTCTTATATTTAAATGGTTATTTTGATGAGGTTTTTTCCTCCAGATATACTATTTTTGAAAAACAGATTCCTCCTAAGAGCAGTCAAGTGTCAAATGTAAAGTTATGGATCGTGCCAGCTACTTTTGGATGCATACGCTCCATTTATTCATTATGGCAGTGAAAGCTTAAATGTGCAAATATCCAGGGCCGTTTTATGTACCTGTCATTTTAGTGTTTTTAATGAACATTGATCATGTTCATCCAGTCATAGATTTGAATAAAGCAAATATGCAGCAGTTTCTAAAACACTGCATGAACTTTTTGTTTTTGCATAATGTTTCAGAGAGCCCTCAAGAAGTACCTGAAAAGATATTCACTCTCTTTTTTTTCTTCAATAAAGTATAGGCAAATATAGTTCCTAGTAAAATGCTTCTCTCTGAAATAAATAAATAGATAAATAAATAAATAAATAAATAACCCTTTGCAGAATGAGAAATAGGTTAGCACAGATTCATTTCAATTTTCTTGCTAAAATTCATCAAAAGTTTATTTCAGGATTCACTTGCACAGTATAAGTATGATTTTAATCTCCATGGGGTCACTTCATAGGTTAGCTTGCTGGGAAACTAATATTTTAAATTAAAAAAAATAGGAGCTACCTTTATATATTCGCAATGGTGCAAACATTATACAGTATTCCCTTGAATTATTATTATTTTGCTTGAGCTTGAGCATCTGCACTTCGTATTGGTAATTCCTGACTATTTGGTTCTACTTACCAGCTGCATTTGTTCAATTAAAGCCAAAATTGATCTTCTGTTTGCATAAATCAGGATTATGTAATTTGACGCAAAAACTTCTACCTGATTGTTTCTTTCATATAATGTTTTGTCACATAGAAATTCCAATCTTCCGCAGTGGACAGTCATAGTTCATCTCCAGATGCTAAAGATGCAGGTGTTTTACTATTACATTTGTATTAGGATTTGTGGACCTACAGATTGTCTGTGCCCTGGGGTACAAAAACTTGCAGGAGACAGATATGGAAATGTAAAACTACCCAATCAAACAATCTGCTGACAACCTAGCGAATTGACTTAGATTAGAGTAGGTTCTTGATGCAAATTACTACCCAAGAACACTTTTCTTCCAGGTTAAGGACCAAAAAAACCCCACACATACAAAGAAGAAAGAGGGGTAAACAAAACAAGAAACATTTATTGGCAGGTTTGGTTGCCCTTGCATAAAAATACTCATCCATCTTTCTTCCACAATTAATCAATGAAAGCTTAGCTGGAATGCCTTTGATAAGTATTCAGAGAGTAGGTATGTTGAGCATTAGAGTTGTGTTAGGATGCAATAAATTTTGCTGACGTTTAAGTTTGAGGCTGGTCACCCACTACAAACACAGCATTGAATCCCTATCCTGAAATCACCAAATGTAAACCAGCCCAGATCACACATCTTTTTCTGAAAGAGTAAGATAAATCAGATGAGATGTTTGAGAGAGATTGGACTTCAAAATAATGTATCTTTCTATACAGTCTCCAAAATCTTATTTTACTTGACAGATCTCCAAATGGCCCAGGAGTGCCAAAATTCTTTTAATCTATTTTGTTTGGAAAAGACATGTGCATTTTAACTGTCTATAGTGGGTTTCTTTATTTAATTAATAGCAGGTTGGACAGAAATATGCCTTTGAAATGCTGCAATATAGGACACTAGGGCTATGTCTACACTCGTGGCTTCTTGCGCGAGAACTATGCAAAGGAGGCTAAACGTGGAATATTGCCGAGCCTCATTTGCATACCTAATGAGCTGCCATTTTTTCAGAAGAGGCTCTGGAGCCAGAAGGAGCTGTCTATACTGCCCCTTCTTGTGCAAGAAAAACCCTATTGCGCAATGCTGTTATTCCTGAAAATAATTGGTGTAATGGCATTGTGCAAGAGGGTTTTTCTTGAGCAAGAGGGGGCAATGT